TAAAGTATATTGTTTTCTTCAGTTAGTTAATTCAGTACCCTTTTTAGTACTGTGCTGATAGAGTTTTCTTGCATATGTACAGATTGCTTAACTGATGGCTCACAAAGACACCAAAATAAGAATAAAGACGTTCAAAGAACAAAAGGTTAGCTACAGTAGAATAGCTATGATGACATTACTTAGCAAGACAACCTTGTGACCCAGTAGCATCTTAGGCATATATTGTAAAAAAAAAAAATACTCAAACATTTCCAGAAGTTGGTGGGGTTTTTTTTATGTCAGAGAAGTCACTATTCGTACAGATTTTAGCAGATGGCACTATTTATTTATTTAGGCATAACATCATAGTGAGATTAGTTTTCAAGCCTTTTGAATGTGTGAAACCTATCTTCCATCAAATATACCAATCCTTGACACTTGCTTGGAAAGATTTTAAAGAATGTTGGGCTTATACAGCCTTTCATTGTCCTTTCAGAACTAATGCACTGAATATGCCAGTACAAAGTATAACTGACAAATTTGTCTCAGAAAAATCACTGCCATCTGGGGTTGCTTTTGAAGGTTACAATTGCCAACAAAAGACAGCCGCCTGTTTCAGGGGACAGTCTCTACCCCCATACTACAGATTTTATTCCTTATTACAGATGCATAAAACCTTCAAAGTAAAACACAGAAAGTCAAATTTTAGAAAGTTTAATAGCTATCTTCTCATTACAATTATTCTATTTATCTCACATTATAGTTAATTAGCAGATATATAAAAGTCAGTTTTGCTTCATGCTTGGGCTACCAACTCTGAAGAAGTACAGAGAAATGGTAAATTCATCTGTGAAAATAGCTCCAATGAATATAATTGATGGACTTCTGTAAAAGTTTGATAAATATGTGAATTGCAGTACCCAGGTGATAATAACTGGGTGAAACATTAAGGATTTTCCCCAAGGAGAACTGAATTTAGGTAACTGCTCTGCTGCTTTCTGCGCCTTGAAGATGGCAGGGGTTTTTGGAGAACTGGTTCTCCAAAGTACTGACACATCCCAAGGTACTTTTCTCTAGCTGACTCTCCAAAACAGCACTATTATGACAGGATGCTCAAAACTATTCAGGCATTGGCAGAAGTCTGTGTGAGACACCCTCCACCAGGCCCCCATGGGAGCTGGCAATCCAAATAACTGGCATGGGCAACTCATGAATGATGGAAACATCAGGGCATAATGGAAAGTGCTGAGTAACCCAAACTATGGGTGTGACAAGTTTTGCCCATTGTAAGGTCTGCTGTCACAGTAATAAAGTGGAGTAAACTGCACTTAAAAAACAAAACAAAAAAACCCCCAAAACTCCCAACCAACCAAACAAAAAAATATTAGCCTCCAAATGTATTTTCAAGAGCTTTTGTTAACAGTGTTTATGGGACTAGAGTCATGACTGGAGTGTGCTGAAGCAGATGAAATTATCTGTCAGAGCAGCAGCAGGTCACAGGGCTCCACCACTGAAAAGTGCTGGAGGAAGAGATATATGATATGCAGGGCATATTAGAGTGATTATTAAGGAAGCATAATAAACTACAAATAAAAGCAACAACCACATGCTTTAGAAGCTACTGTGCGAAGATGAAACAAGGAAAAATGAAAATCAATTAAAATGGACAATCTCAAGAAAATTATCTTGACATTGATACATTAACTCATGAAAGAGTCTGCTCAGCAGAGGGACTGAAGTTGTATTGTCTGAAAGCTCAGCAAGAAACCTAAACAAATAGATTAGAAAAGATTTGCCACTGAGCACTCTGCCATTTACACAAAAAGAGCAGGTGAGGTAACAGGTCTTCAACCTTTTGACATTTTAAGGCTGTTATTCATATACAAGTATGCCTTATTCCTCAATAATTATGTGGATACTGAAGAGAACATGTCCTTGATCTGGGGAGGAGCCTGTAGTTATCACTGATGGAATTTCAGAATGTAGCTTTGGCACAGTTACACAGCCCTAAGTATGATAAATGTGAATAATTAAATAAAATAATGAAAAAACCCAAAACCAAAATACAACAAAAAACCATGAAAAAACAAACAAAAAACCAAAACACCACCACCCCCACCCCCATCCATTATGCTTGAAGACATTACCTTAGGTAAGGTTTACCTATGGATGCTAACTATGAAGCAGGGAGCACAGTGCCTGTGGAATACCTTTCTCAGCCTCACCTGAGAAAGTGGCCTGGGAAATCATAAGGAGGAATTAAAGCAATCCTCAGAGACAGAAAATAGCCTTGCAGGTGCTGTTTGTCAGTTTCTTGTTTTCTTGCAAGAGAAGGTCGAGGGGTGGTGTACCCCACTGACCTATGATGGTTATGTGTTAGTTTACTAACCAATAAGAGTTTTACTTTTCTGTACTTTCGTGTATCGGTCTATAAGAGAAGATCTGAGGTAATGCACCTTAAGGTTAAGGGAGAAATTCTCTGACTCCCAAAAGAGTCTGTGTCATTCTTCTCACCGTTCCCAATAGAGTGACATTTACCTATCACTCTGTTTACCCATTGTAACAGTATAGAGGTAATAGTTAGCAACATAATAAAAGAATGTGAGTATTAAAGCACACAGAAAAGCAGTGAGGAAGTTTAAGATGTTTCAATGCCTGGAGAAATGTGTATCTCCAAGTAATGTACTCTCTGCACATTAAAAAAATAAATAAAAAATTCCTCATAAGCCAGAAAAAAACTAGTCAAACCAAAAGGAAATTATAGGTGAAAGATTACATCTGCATTCTCCAAATAACTGAGTCCCTAATGATAAATGACAAGGAAATTCCTTTTTTTGTCTGGATCACATCTGTAAATCTTCTCCTTTTTCACAAAACAGAGTTAGAATTGGTAGTGAAGTCTTTAACCAAGAAGAAAGCAAGGATGGCAAGCCTTCTGGTGCTATGAGTATTTAATTACTACTACAAGAGAAGTCATACAACTATGAAAGTCATGCTTGATAAACCCCACAAGGAATCATTTTATCTCCTTTCAGATAAGTCATTCCACTGGAAGACAAGACTTCATATACCTCTGGGCAGAGGAATAAATTATCATTTGAGCAGTATTTGAGGTATTTAACTACTGTTCTCAGTAAAATGGGAAAGGCACCACTTTTTTTTTGTTTCCTTTCATTCTAAAAGAAATTTTAAAAATTAAATAATCAGAGCCTACTGCTCAAACGGAGGGAAATGAATAGCCTGCAGCCATGCATGGGGTCTGTGATTTGAAACAGCAATCCTAGCCTGAAAAGGTGAAGCACGTTTGGACCCTGCAGCTGGAATATCATTGCCACACCTTGGGAATTGTCCTGAGAGAAGCAGAGGTACCAGGGTCTTTGTGCATTCACACCTCACTAAAAATAAAGTGAGGCACCAGCCTTGAAATGTCTGAAGTGGACTACAGGCTTGGTGTAAATACTCACCACCACACATCCTTTTTCAACTGTCTGAACCAAGGAAAGATGAAATGTCCAAGGAAACTGAAACTTGGTTTTATGTAGGCCACTAAACTAACAAAACACTTGAAGCAGAGACATGCCCATATAAAACATTTCCTTAAAGTAAGCTTTCCAGGACTTCTAATGGGACTTCAAGTGTTCTTCTATTTCAATAAAAAAATTCCAAAAACATGTTACATAAGACAGCTTAAACAAAAAATGGGCTGGTAAAAAACAGTAGAAGGAAGAATTCTTCCCTTCCCTGGTCTACTTGTTTTCTAAGGCACACCTTTTCCCTCAGTCTTGTTTTCAACCCAGTAGTTTTTCAATGGCTTCCTGCATCGTACCAATCCCGATGGTGAGCCAGGTCCCTTGGAAATGTCCTTCCACTGTCAGCAAGCCACAGCCTTTACTACACCTGTGTCCCTTGTACTTCCCTGCTGTTACCAACAGTGTGGTCCCTGTGACAGCCAGAAATGTCTCTATCTACAAATGGTCATGCTGCCTTTTATGGGAGGTATAATATCTCTGCTGCACAAATAATGTCTCTGTGAGCCTGAGTGTGGCAGGCAAGAGACACAACTGGCACCCTTTCTTCCTCCTTTACAGCCCAACTTTTCAGAGGAATATATGTTAATCAAGGTGAAGCTAAAACAAACTAAAAAACCAATCACATGCCTCTGTCACAGTTCTCAAAACCTCATGACTGGTTCAGTGTCTATCTGATTTAACATAAAACAATGGTACTGAATTACCAGGACCATACATATCAAAGGGAAGATACAACTAATTAGATGACATTAACAATCTCTTATAGCACATTTAGCAACCCAGATGTATTTTCAGATAGCCTACTGAAAAATTCGTGTGCTGAACTTTAAATTCCTTAACTATCATAAAATAGTCTAATATAATAATATAGTCTAATATAATAATATAGTCTAATATATCATAATATATCATAATATAATCAAGTGATTTCTTTGATTGAACAACTGTTGGCTGCATAGGCCTTTTACCTAGTAGTATTTTTAAATTTATTACAGTTTGCTGATCCAACACTACTTTTAAATAGCCACTTTTCTACGTACTCTTAATTCTCAATTCATCCAACCCAATTTTCTTTCTGAATCTACAGAGATACTTTTTACTCAATTATAATACAGCTTTAAAAAACCAAACTGAAAAAACACCTTAAATTTGTCCAAGTCGCAGGCTTCAATACATTAAACCAGCAGCTATATTGCACTTTATCAGATAACTGTTTTCTATATAAAACATTTCTTACTGTTTCACTTCACAATTCAGAATCTGCATAATGACACTTCAATACCAATATAATTCACTGAGAGTCTCATCTAGTCCTAACAAATTAGTACAGGTAGTCAGAGATACTTCTGATAAATAGTACACACAGAAAATTATTGTTATGAGAGACAATTAATTTGGATTCCTACTTGCAGCCATTTATCCTTCCTATGTTTCTGCAACCCCATGCATGCATTTTTCTCTAGTCAATTAAAGCTAGCTAATTCTTCATACCTGTATGTTTTGTAGAAGAGACATCTCTTCAGTGGGACCTTAATCACATGTTCCTGAAGGCCTACAAAAAGGACACTCTGGCTGTGCAGGATCTGAAGGCTCCTGATGGGCTCTCGCTGACTTTTCGGCAGGAGTTCAATTTCCTCAAGCAGGCAGCTGCTTGAATTCTGGTTCACTGGGGCAAGTACTTTCTTAATAGTGCCATAGTCTGAAAAGGCAAGAGGAAAATGAGTTACTAAAAATCGCAGTAGCAGTTCTACTTGCTTGGTGTCATTCAGTGAAAAAAATCTTTGTGCTGGATGTTTTCAATGAAGCCTTGGAATGCAGAATTATTTTGACTGAAGTTTCCTAAATTGATTATAGTGCAGTGAAAAGAACTTTGAAACCTTGTTTTCTTGTGACTACTGTTGTGAAGGCCATTCTGCACTAATAACTTTTTTCCTTTTTTTTTTTTTTTAAATGTACATTCATGCCAAGGGTTACTGATTTCAGTCTACCAGATTGCCCTATACTTTATTCTATTTAAAGCAATTTTAAAAAGCATTAAATTCCATAATTTCCCCAAGTTTTTTTAATACTCTGCGTTAAAAATTATGGGGTTTAGATATGTATCAAATTCATTTAATAAAGCATATGTATATGAGTATATCCAGGTCTTGAGTCTAGGTGAATATTAATGAATGAGGCTGATCCCCTTCTTACGTACCTTGACTTTGACCTCTGAGAAATCATAGCTTTTAGCATTCACTCTTCCCTTCTATTCTTAATGTGAATTCTCAGGAAAGACAGTTACGCATTGAAAACAAGTATCAGAATATATGATAAGATTTATCATTCACTCCTGCAAAGTTTTTAAATAATTTAAAAATATCAAAGTGCATTTGTTCTGAACACAAAGGATCACATTCTCACACTGATAAATATTTTAGGTAGCCACAGAATTATGCAATCTTTTATGTGTCAGCAATAGTAAGTATTAAGGATCCAACACTGCAAACACACACAGAGATAAGCCTTGAAGTCTTGAAAGACTTTAGTTTTGAATTGGTAATAACGGCATGCATGAGGAATGTTTGGGAAGGCCTGTTCTGCAGTCTAGAAAACAGTTCGTTTACCATTATTAGCACAAGGCTAGAGGTTTGGCTTAGAGTTGGCAGTGCAGGTTCTACCGGACATATCTATCCTGGATTGGTGAGTACTGGTTTTATCCATGGCAGGAAACACCTGGTAGCCACACGTCTGTGTCCTCCTACACCAGCTTCACCATGGGAGCACCCGAGGCCAGGGGCTGGCGCGCCTGGTCACTGTACTCCCCAGGGTAACTGGGCTGAGGGAGGGCAACTTGACGTCCCCAAACTTTGCTTGGGAGGTGGTGAGGAACAGCAAGTAAGCAACTTTAAGAAAATACAAAAAAGCAACCTCAGATGGACTCCAAAACTAAAGAGAAGAGGGAGAACCAAGATGACAGTTACTGTTCAAATCTCCTCATTTTCCTGAGAAAGACTGAGTATTCAATCCTAAAATCTAGAGTAGTACTGGAAGGGAGAGCATACACCAAATAGCAGGGGAAGTAAATAGAAAGTTTATGTGTAAGATATAACATTACATAATATTATGTAATTCTATTAAACAGTCAAAACTTATTAGATAAACCACAAATGATTAGTTCAGTGTATAAAATTGATTCCTCTTAGTCCACGAAAAATTTGATCATATCACATCATTTATGCATGTTAAAATTGTCTGCCTAGCCTCTCAAGTTTTAATATAATCACTTCATGTACGTACCTGTTTGTGTTTTTCTTTCTTGTTACAAACATGCTTGACCATTTTTTAGGAAAAAAGCTTCCAGTAAATTGCAATTTTAATTTTCATTAACATTTTTGATATTAAAAATCTAATTTGATGATCACTTTTTCTCCCAAACAACCTAAACCAGACTTATATTCAAAACCTAATTAAATTGTTGCTCCACAGTTAAGCAATAACCAGCTCAGCTGAACAATGTAACAAGCATTGTTTCCACTGATGATGATGGATGACTGGATGCAAAATCTTGATTATAATTACAGCAAGTTTTATGGTCAAAATATAGTCTGAGATATGTCCCAAAATTTCAGTGCTTGTATGTGATCTTGTTTTGGCTGAGGGAGAATTAATTGTCTTCACATTGGCTGGTATGAGGCTGTGTTTTTGTTTTGTGCTGAGCACAGGGCTGATGATATGGAGATGTTTTTGTTATTGCTGAGCAGGGCTTGCTCAGAGCCAAGGACTTTTCTGCTTCTCACACTGCTATGCTGGAGAGGAAGTTGGGAGTGCTTGGGAGCTTGGGAAGACACACAGCCAGTACAGGTGACCCAAACTGACCAAAGAGAAATACATGTTGACATTACATTCAGATACAAAGTAGGAGAAGAGGGAAGAATGGGAGTTCATTTGAAGTTATGGCATTTGTCTTCAGAAGTCACTGTTACACCTGATGGAGCCCTGCTCTCCTGCTGATGGCTGAACACCTTCCTGCCCATGGGAAGGAGTAAATTAATGCCTTGTTTTGCTTTGCTTGTGTGTGTGGCTTTTGCTTTTGCTGTCTTTGTCTCAATCCACATGTTTTCTTCTGATTATCTCCCTGATGACACTGGTGGCAGGGGGTGAGCAAGGTGCTGTGTGGTACTTATAGGCTGGCTGGGGTTAAACCACAACACCACTAATTACTGAGTGGAAGATGAATGATTTTCTTTTAAGCATAGAAGTTGGAAAAATCTACTAAGAAGAAGGAGCAGTGAGAGCATTTTACAGATGTAAATTAATTGGTATTGCTTTGTAGATCAGTCAGTGCAACTTGCTTAACTGGCAGGCAACAGATTCAGTATGATTCATGGTGCATTGTATTTGGCTTGTCACAATTTTCTTGCATGAGACAAAAATCAGGTATACATTCAGCATGTTTCCTCTAAAGACTAATATTTCTTCCTACCACTGTGATGGGTTTGGCATTCATGGACTGAATCACTTGCTGTCACCTCCCCCAAGAGAAGAAAAAACACATGACTGCAGGCCTCTCTCCCCTATGCCTACATACACATTCAATTTAGAAATACAGCTTTGGACAGGAGAATATGATCAAATAAAAATACTTTGTTTCTTCTAGCTCGTTTATTATAGACAGCAAACTTACATTTCTTTATATTCAAGCCTATGACCTGGAGATAATGGTTACAGCAGCATACCACCCCAGAAAGAAGTAAAATATTCTCACTTTGAGAACTGCAGCACTAATGCCTTCCCCCAGACATCTGTCATAGCTCATGTTCTTCCTTCTTATCCTGACATATGGATGCTGAATGCAAGAAAGCAGGCAGGGAGCACAGAGCCTGTGTGAAACTAAGTCACACAAGCTTCTCACTCTGGCCTGAGAAAGCATAAGGAGGAATCTAAACAGTCCCTGGAGAAAGACAATAACCTTTGCAGGTGTTGTTTAGATCTACGTTGTTTACTTGCAAGAAACAGTCAAAGGGTGTAGTACCCAATCGTCCAATGATAGTGATGTGTTGGTTTAATCACCAATGAGAGTTTTACCTGTCAGACCTTCTCACACCTGTCTATAAATGAAGATTGGGAATAACAAAACTAGCTCTCTTGGGCAACCCAGTTAAGAGACTGTGTTGTACTTCGCCATTCCTAATACAGTGCGACACTGACATACATTCTTCATTCCTCATATTTCCTTCTGCCCTCTTTCAGCATCTCCCAAACCATTCCTTTTTCATTTTTTGTCTAAGAGGATCAGTAATGTTGAAAGTCGCAACTGACTGAGCTTCAAATGAAGAACCAGTGCCTGAGATCCTGCAGATTTCAGGAAGAAACATTGCTCTTCTCAGGAGCAATGTGGGTCATATGCAAGCTCAACAAAAAGTAACAGAATGTTACCTGAGATCTACTTCTGCCTCAATAAAACCCCCTGCTTCTGACTTCAATAACCTTCTCTGCCTTAAATTCCTACTGCATATGACTTTGATTTTGCAAGGACCACCTGGGAGGCCAAACTAGGGTAAGGATCTGGTTTCACATCACAACTTTGAGACAGGCACAGATTGAATTGCTGTTATGTTCACCAGTCTATGGTATGTAGCAAGGGTGTGATATAACTGTCCTTTAATTATACTAGCACCTAACAAGGCTATATCAGGCTTTCTTACAGTGGAAAATCACAGCCATTGATTCCAGTGGTTTCAAAAGTCAGGTGTTTGCTCTAGTGTTTCCAATTCTACAAGGTGTGTAACATTATGCACAGCCTCCAGCAAAGACTTCAGAATTCCTAAAGAATTTGTAGAAGTCCCATCCTCAAAAGTGTTGTCTGCCTGGCCATTTTCACAGCAGTTGCAAAGCAAATTAGGGTGTAAAAAAAGTAAAAAAGTAAGTCCAGGACATGGCTCTTGGGAATGGAGTTTTTCAGACATGTCATAACCTTTCAAGTGCATATTTCATTATATATAATCAAACTAAATGTCCACTTCTGCCAAGAAGCAGCTAAGAAGGATAGTAATCAGAGAGCATCTTAATGGATGTAACTTTATTGTCATGTGTTGGAGCCCTGGGCACAGAGAATTTCATGCTTTCTTTGCTGACAGGCAGAGACACACAAGAGAACATTGTGCTTGACCTGAGGCCATGGAAAAGCCTTCCAAAATTGATAGATAAAACTGAAACTGTGAGTGTATAATTTGAATAAAAGTGTGTTATATCATTTGGTGGAAAATTTAGACTTTAAGGTTTTAGAATACAGTAATATATATATGTAACAGGATGGAGGTTTTAGGGTCTTAGCTTGCCTTGTTTTTTCACCTTCTTCATGGGTTTTGGGTAATATTGTGTGATTGGATAGAAAAATCTGCAGTGCAGATGGGTGTTTGATTATTGGGTTGTAAGTAAAAATAAATTAGTTTTTGCATTTTATAATTGGGTAGTTGACACTTAAAAGGTCTTGGAGAAAGATACTTGGGGCTCCATTTTTTAGACTGTTAGCTTAGTGTACAGATGAACTCACTGTCTGTGAGAATGTAATATAGATATGAAAAAAGAAACAACTGAGTCCAAACATGAAAACCATCTCTCTCACTCATTAATCCTGACCCTGAGGAAAAGAACCAGATAAAACACAGGACATTTGATAGCCATGGACACAGGGAAAGCTGCAGCTCCATCACAAAT